TACAGAGGGGTTAGCTTCAGGCTAGAAAGTGGTTAGCAACAGGCTACAGAGGGGTTAGCATCAAGCGTCAGCAGGGTTAGTATCAGGCTACAGAACATCCAACCACAGACAGCAATAAAAAGTTAAACGTCAGTACAGTCTGCTGGCTTCCTGTTTACCCAGGAAAACCAAAATAAAGTTTCTATATTCTGAAGATGAGTCTGGTATCGTTCTTTACTTTTTTCACACAGGCTTTTTGTCACAGACAAAAATAAAGAATATATAAAAACTATATTCACCAAAAAGCAAACAAAGAAATAAACAAACAAACAAACAAACAAACAAAAAACAACAACAAGGACTTCAGGGACCAGATTACAGATCTGCACAAGGAGATGGACTGGAGAACAGACCATCAGCAAGAACGTTGCTGAGAAGCTGCTGATGCCATTCTTCAGAAAAGGACCGACATCTGCCCTCAGTCTGGACTCTGGAGCTCCTTATAAAGTCTTTCTCATGGGATGGGATGGAGTTTGTTGATGCTCTGAAGGCAGCTGAGACCACAATCACCAACAACACCACTGGTACCACACTAATCTGTAATCTGATGGACTGAATGCCCTCATTCTGAAAATTGTCCAGGCAAATACAGGTCTTTCTTTTTTCTCACTGGCTCTCTAACGAGGCGACGCGTTCCTCCCCTCTCCCTGGTCTCCTCCTGCTCTCTGTCTGTGTATCGGAGCAGCTCCTACTTTTACACATCTTTCTGAAATGAAAACCGTTTTGGATCTGACCAACTGGACTTTTGACGTAAATTACAAAATCCTTTCAACAAAGCGACGGGGTCCTGGAGAACCCTCATCTGCTCCAACGAGACGCACGCAGCTGGATAAATCTCTGGGGGTGAAGTGTCGACCTCTGCTATCGAATGAGGACACCAGAATTTCATATAATTGGATTTATGATAACAGGTTTCCTGTTTTTGGAATAGTCTGGTTCCTGGTTTATCAACATACAAAGAAGACGTCGCAGCTAATCTGGACCTGGTCAGGCTGCTGTCCAGGTGAAGGTCTGGTTCGTGCTGGAGGACTCAAAATCAGCTGATTTACGAGTGAAACCGTAAGTTGGAAGTGATTTGAATCGTGGGCCACCTGTGGCTTTGGGACTCGTCAGCAGGAACACGAGCATGAAGAGGCTCGTAAGCACGGACCAGCAGATTGCACCTTAACCTGGACATTTGGACCTTGGAAGTACCAGTTCAGACTCGAGGCTGACGGAAACTAGTCTGAATAAATCAACAACGGTGGTTTATCTGAATCTCTCCCCAGTTGGCCTCGAAACAGGGCGACTTATCAGTTTCTCCTGGGAAATGTGTAAACTAAGGAAAAGCTTCGTCTACCATGTACCATAAAATCTTGGACTAGAACCTTCTTTCCTCAGCCAGAACACAAAAGCTAACTCATGGATGTGTCCTCCAGCAGCACAACAACGCAAAACCTCCCGTCCACGGCAACAAAAGAGCAGCTAAAAAAAACAAGTTTGTTCAAGTTATGAAATTGACAAGCTGGTCTTCAGACCTCATGCTCATCAACAGAGGATAAGCAGATGTCCAGAACCCTGGTCATCATTGTCCACTGACCTGCAGCCAAGAAACTAACGAATTTTCAGAGTTTCTGAAAAGAGGAGTGTGCCAAAATCCTTCCTGTGATGTGAGCAAACCTATTTTCCTTACTTGTATGAACAAAGTGGCAGCACAGAAAATTAATGGGTCCAAGATAGAGCCCTGAGGGACACCATGATGTTTGTTTTTGGTCTTTTTATGAAACAACCCCAGACTCATCTGTCAGTTCTGTGTCACAGTAGCTCTGTTATCAATGATAAGAGTTTAAAACTGTCTGACGAAAATTAAAAAACACGGTGTCTCTGAAGAAACATGCTCCTACGGTGCAGCGGGGACTTACTTACCATGGATTAATATAAAAAGCCAAAAGATAGTCAGTCCAAAGGCAGGATGGCAGAAGGGTAAGGAAGGCAAAGAGGCTTCTTCGCCTGAAGGGGGTCAAATAAACATGGACACAACAAGAGAGACAGCGGGGGAGGGGGGGCAGACAGCGGGGGAGGGGGGCAGAAGACGGAGCTCCATTAGTAAAGAGGCACAGAGCTTTACATTAGTGTTGAACACAGAGTTAATGATTCATGCAGCCACTGCTCAGAGAGCTCCGTTGTCTCTGCAGGACAACACGAGTCAAAAGCTGCTCTGTTGTCCTGAGTCTATGACATCACAGCCCCGTCCAAGCCCCGCCCACAACCTGCCCAGGCCCGTGTACATGTTCTCCGGTTGTCAGTCAATGCTGGCGTAAGACTGTGATGCCACCTTCACCGAGCTGATGACCTCATTATTGTACAACTATACAGGGTGGCTTCTGGGTAATACCAGATGGCTAGGCCTCAGACCGACGAAGCCTCTTGGATGAGGGGCGAAACGTTTCTTTTTAACAAAAAAACGAAGTCCAGATGACATGATTCAACCTTTTTTGTTGTTGACCTCATTATTGTCCACTGACAAAAAGCAGGCCATAATGTGCCTGTCTGTTAGCAAAATATCTCATGACCCACTGAATGGATTTTAATCAACATAATCTCTGCATGCATTTCTACAAGTGATGAATATTTTCTTTTGGAGGTGATTTGGGAGCAGCACGGTAGCGCAACTGGTAGAGCTGCTGTCTCTCAGCGAGCAGGTCCCTGGTTCAAACCCCGGTCCAGGGGCCTTTCTGGGTGGAGTTTGCATGTTCTCTCCGTGCATGCGTGGGTTTTCTCCGGGTACTCCGGTTTCCTCCCACAGTCCAAAAACATGCATGTTAGGCTGATTGGTAACTCTAAATAGTCCCTAGGTGTGAGTGAGAGAGTGAATGGTTGTTTGTCTCGTTTGTCTCTATGTGTCCGTGTGATGGACTGGAGACCCGTCCAGGGTGTCCCCCGCCCCTCGCAGTGATTGCTGGACATGGGCACCGGCGACCCCCGTGACCCAAAATGGAATAAGCGGGTAAAGATAATGGATGGATGGATGGATGGATGGATGGATGGTGATTTGGGATTGCTACTGCAGCTAATGACCTCTGCAAACCTAAAAATTACTAAGACAGTTTTTGTTGTTGTTGTTTGAACGTCCAGAGGAGCAGAGTCAACTTCTCTAGATGTTTCTACCTGGATTACTGAGCAGCATCAGGACAGTTGGGCTGGAGTTTAGTGTTTAGTCTAGTCAGTGTTGGTGTTTGAGTCTAAACAATGAGACTCAATGAGACCAGAGGAGGAGGAGCTGCAGACCAGAGGAGGAGGAGCTGCAGACCAGAGGAGGAG